AGACCCCCTGTCTTAAAAAATAAAAAGGGCTGGATGTGGCTCAGTGCTTAGGAACCCTTGGGTTCAATCCCTGGTACCAAAAACAAAACACTAGATCTATCTATGCTGTTTCTGTAATATACCAAAATCACATTGCATTAGTGTCCTATAATGATTGGTCCTAAACAGCCACCCCAAATTTGTATAAAGCAGTCATATACTTCCATCCCTTGCTGTTGATGGGTTCAGAATGAACAGATCTTAATTAAAATTTGAGTCAGTGAAAATAAAGGCTCTGTTCTGCTGGGAGAATACGTTGGCATGTTACTCAAGAGTGCCATTGGAGGAACTAGAATTAGGCTAAAGATGACACTGAGAATGGCAAAAACTAAAAGAAGCTGGGAATGTAACTCAGTGGTTGAGCATTTGCCTAGCATGTGCAAGGCCCTAAGTTCCATCCCCACTACCAAAAAAAGAAAGAAAATGGAAAAAAAAAAAATCCCCTAACTGAAATCCTAGTTATATTTAAATAATCTCTAATGATTGTTGCCATTTAAGTGCAGGTTTTCTGTTGATTTTCTGTTAATTGCTAGCAAAAGGAATCTGATACATAAACTTGTGTACCACTGAACCTTCAGTGTTTTCAGAAAAAGTTTTACTATGACTCACACACCAAAAAACATTTTACATCAGAACACAATAATTACAAATATATATAAATGATACAATTGCATGTGCTTCTCAAAATATTTACCTTTATAAATAACTACACTAATATTTTCTCATTTTTTTTTCTAGTTCCTTTTTTTAAAATGCTGCTCCCAATTCATTAAATTGATTTGACAACCCACTAATGGTTTATCACTTGCCTTACTGGTCTTAATCAGTATTTCAATGACTAAGCATCACCTTCACTAGATAAAATCCAGAATTTTCATAATACAAAGGCCTTCTATCGCCTCACACCAGCTACTTTCAACCTCTTTTTACCATTTGCTACCATCCTTCATAGGAAACTTAGTATCTCATAATTTTGTGCACATTTCCTGTACTATAATATTTACCTTCTTTGAAGTCAACACCTCATTCAAATCTACATTCAGAAGTCACTTTTTTGAAGCCTTCTCAGAACTGGAAGACTTTGTGTCATACCTCAAATGGGAGCAGGTGCCCTCCCGTATGCGGTTATTTTCCTATGGCCATACACCTATTAAAGCACTCACCACACTATACTACAGTGTCCTGTCTACTTGCCTGATTCCCTAATTCAACCAAGCTTCTGAAGTCAGGGACTATAACTCGTTTTCTTGACAACATTACTGATACACAGTAGGTTCTTAGTATATGTTAATTAAATGAAGAGTGAGCTATAACCCATGTGTGTTAGTTTTTCATCACTCTGACCAAAATACCTAACGTAAACAACTTAAAGGAGGGAAGGCTTCTTTTGGCTCAGTTTCAGAGATTCAGTTTATGTTCAGCTGGCTCCAGTACTTTGGGCCTGAGGTGAGGCAGAGGAAAGCTGCTTATCTCATGGCAGGCAAGAAGCAGAGAGAGGAGAAGAGGCTAGGGACAAGATATAGTCCCCAAGGGCATGCCCCCAATGACATACTCCACCCATGTTTCATCTGTTTATACTTCATACCACCTTCCAGTTCCATTCAAATGGATTAATACATTGATGAGGTTAGAACCCTCATGATTCAATCATTTCCTAAAAACCCGACCTCTATGTGTTACTGCATCCAGGACCAGGTCTTCAACACAAGAGCTTTT